AGGAAGACCCCCAGCGAGATGGATTGGCCAAGTGGCAGCATCGATGGGCTCAAGTGTGGCAATAGTAATGAGGTTGGTCCAGGATCGGGTAGTGTTTCGTTCTGCTGCGCATAAGGTCGCTATGGGTCAGTTCCGACTCAATGGCACCTGACAACCACAACAATAAACACAGTGAATCAGGAGAGATTTCTTCTGTTGAATGTTCGAGTTTAATGGGTGCAAACCATTGTTGCTGCGATTACTAGTAGCAATACGAATATAACAGAATCAGTACCAAATTCTGCATACTGGTATGGCACTGTGGGATAATGTGCTGGACTGCAAAGTCGGTTTGAACAGCTAGGTCAGTGGTTCAAGCTCACCAGCTGCTCCTCAGAAACAGGGTTGCTATGGGTTGGAACCTATTCGATGGCACTAAACAACAACACTCTTGTTTGTAGTAAAAAAAAATAATAATGCCATAGAATCTGAAACTATTTTAGCATCTGAAATTGTCACACCTGCAGACTCCATAAATAACAGAAAGACGGTTCCGGTTTGTGGAATAATTTTGCTTTTAGTAATGTAAATTATTAGTGCAAAAGAAGGCCAAGTGATTGTCAGCATCACAGTGGACCCTTTGAAAATTTCCAGATAGTTAAAAAAAAAAGACAGTACTGTAGACAGAATACACTTGTAGGGTGCAAAGTTCATGGTGAAAATCATGTGCGGCAGTAACTACCGTCAGTCTGCTCCGTGTGTTGCTTTGTTTGCAAATACTCAGTCCTAAGTCATTTAATTCTCTATTTGCTATGGCTGGATTTAGTCATTGGTGAAACTCTCATATGACTCGTCAGCATGAAACAATTACCAGAGATTGTATATTGTCATATTTAACATTTAAACCAAAGACAGGCTTTTGGTTTAACTCATGACCCGGAAGCACAAATTAATGAAGCATGTCAGTGCGGAGAAGCTGTTTTCAAGTGTATTGTTGCTGTCATTATAAATATCAGGGAGCGTGATAAATATCTCTGTGTTTATACAAGGAAGTTATTTTCAGGATTGCTTTGAGGGATTCACAAATCCTCTTTTTTTATCCTCAGTAAGCTCTTGCTTTTGGGCTCCCCTGGATTGCTGCTGTTTCATTTTACCTGGTTATAAAATTGTAACCGTTTACATTTGTTTCTACTGTAGAAAATAAATGTGAATCAATGAAAAGAAATACAATTTGTAAAATAAACTTTACATTCAAATGTGGACATTAACATAAAAATGTATCTTTAAAAATGATTGTTGTTCAATACCTCAAGTCTGTTCGGACTATAGTTCCCTTCCACTTCGATGCTTTCTGTTCCTCGGGTCCTGTCTGCATGCCATCTGTAGGTCTTTGCTGTGGACACCTGGTCCCCATGGTTACCTTGCTTATTTGGTCATCTGCCCCTAGTGGGGAGCAGGAGGGACAGGCCCAGGAGCAGTGTGGCCCCTGTGGGTTTCCAATCATGGGGAGACTTTGTCCTAACAGACAACAGTGTAGGAGTCCCCAGCCCCAAGCCCTCCGTAGGCCTCGTGCCCAGCCTGGCAGTGACCGCCCCTCCTTTGTAGGTGTTGTGCCGCTACCAGCACGTGTGGAATGTGGACCTGCAGCTTCGCCCCACCCTCATCGCAGGGATCATGAAGGACAGCGGTAGGTGGGCGCCCTCCCCGCGTGTCTGGGTTACCCTTCCCTGTGTTACAATATTTTGAGATGTGCCCTGCTAAAAATAATCAAACTGAGCAACAAATACAAGAAACCACCTAATTTTTCATATTGTGGGAACCCAAACACATAATTTCTTCCAAAAAAAGATAGTTCATGTCTTGTAGTTGTCGGGTGCCATCAAGTCGGTACCGAGTCATAGCGACCCCATGCCCAGCAGAACGAAACACGGCCCATCCTGGGCCAACCTCACTGCTGTTGACACGCTTGAGTCCATCGATGCTGCCACTTGGCCAATCCATCTCACCAAGGGTCTTCCTCTTTTTCTCTGACCCTCCACCTTACCAAACATGATATCCTTCTCCAGCTACTTGTCTCTCCTAACGATATATCCGAAGTATAAGAGACGAGGTTTGGCCATCTTGGCCTCCAAGGAGCACTTTTGGTTGCACTTCTTCCAAAACGGATCTATTGGTTCTTTTGGCAGCCCATGACGTTTTCAATATTCTTCTTCAACACCGTAACTGAACAGCATCAATTCTTCTACGGTCCATGTTTGTTGTTGTTGTTGCTAAGTGCCGTTGAGTCGATTCCGAGCCATAGCGACCCTGCATAGGGTTTCCAAGGAGCAGCTGGTGCCATGTTTAGTGATGTTAAAATGTCAGTGACAACACATTGCAAAACAGCTTTCCAGGACTGGCTAGTCATCAACGTGCCCCACCTCCCACCTGCAGGAAACAAGCCCCCAGCCCTGCTTCCCCGCAAAGCGCAATACATGACGCAGGACCTCAGGAGCCTCGGCCAGCACTTCCAGGTTCCCATCCAGTTCCCCAAAGACTTCTTCTCTGTGATCCTTGAAAAAGGTGATGATGGTGGGGGATAGGTGGAGAGCCGTGCAGACAGGAGGGCCAGGGGGTTGGGCGGGGGTCCCTGGAGATCAGGAGGTGGTGGAAGGTACTGGGCAGTGAGCTCTGAGGAGTCTCTGAGCTGAGCGCACATCCGCAGGAAGCCTTTCTGCCATGCGGTTCCTCACCGCCGTGCACCTGGAGTGTCCCGAGATGTTGGAGAAGGTGTCCCGCGAGCTGTGGATGCGCGTCTGGTCCCGGGTGAGCTGGGTTCCTGCTGACCTTCCCCTGGGCTCCTCTGCTGCCCGCGGACTGCTGGCCACTCACACCTCTCCCTCGTCAGTCACCCCCTTTCTTCTCTTCCAGGATGAAGACATCTCGGAGTCCCAAAGCATCCTTGCTGTGAGTACCGCTTCGCCGTGCCTCTCATGGAAGCTGGAGGGACCCACCTGGGGGAGAGATGACAGCAGCCTTCTTAGTGGGGGGAAGGGCGAGAATGTTGCAGTCACATTTGAACAAGGGGTCACTGTGTACGAGAGGACAAATGGCTGAAAAGTAGGAACCTAGAGGACCTCCCAAAATCTGGAGATGAACGGGAGCAAGTGCACAAGTGGACTGTACCTGGGAAAGACATCGGACTGAGAGGCTCCACCCATCACACCCAGGTGGACACAGGCACAGGGAGAAACCTCAGTGGTGGTGGTGGTGGTGGTGTGCCATCGAGTCAGTTCTGACTCACAGCAACCTTATGCCAACAGCACAAAACACTCCTGGACTTGTACCAACGTCACAGTCAGTGTCATGCTTGAGCCCATTGCTGCTGCCACTGCGCCCGTCCATCTCAGCAGGTCTTCCTCTTATTCACTGACCCTCCACTTTACCAAGCATAATGTCCTTCCCTGGGAACTGGTCCCTCCTGATAATATGTCTAAAGTGTGAGAGATGAAGTCTCAATGCTCTAAAGAGTATTCTGCCAACACAAATGTTTGTTCTCTTAGCAGCCCATAGTACTGTTAATATCCTCCAACACCACAACTCAAATGCATCAATTCTTCTACAGTCTTCCTTAGTCACTGCCCAGCTTTCACATGCATATGAGGTTATTGAAAATACCATGGCTTGGGTGAGACGCACCTTAGACCTCAGACTGACATCTTCCGGGCACCTCTGGATGGACCCAAACCTCCCACCTTTTGGTTAGCAGCTGAACTGTTTGTGCCACCAGTGTGGTTTTTAACAAATGACAGTTTGGGCGCATTAAAGTTTGGTATATCAAATGGCAAGCCACAGGAAAGTTAAATGTGCATAGTAACAATGGTCAGCGTATCTTCCAAGGTTGTCTGAGTCTCTGCAAAGTAGGTGGTAAGAAGGAGCGTGCCCAATCACTGTCTGTGGAATGTTCATTTCCGTACTTGATACTTAAAACTCCTCTAGTTTCTACCTAGTATTCCAGTCTGTGGACTGGTCTTTGGTTACTTTACCCTACCCCTACTGCTAAGCGTTCACTCTGGAAACAGGCCCAGATGTGCCCGAGTCAAAGGGAGTGTTTCTGCATGATTTCTACACACACACACACACACACACACACCCCACCCTGTGGGACTTCGGGTTCCAGTATTGCTCAACCTTGGCTACACATTAAATGCACCTGAACTACTGCCCGCGCCCGTTCATTAGAAGTTTGGGGTGGTGGGGCGCAGGTATGTTGTTAAGTGCAGTGAGCTGCTCCCTGAAAACCCTAGGCAGGGTCACCGTGAGTCAGAACCAACTCAACAGCACGTAACAACAAACCTGTGACCCACCCCCAGAACTTCTGTCAAGCCCCTTTCCCCCTGGCAAGTACCGATTTCCTCTCTGGACCTGGGGGTCCTTGTTTGCAGAGGTGGGACTAGCTGGTTTCTAAGACCCCCAGCAGAACACCTCCTGGCAAGAACAGGTCTCCATATTATGGAGGGGTAAAGGCGCCTCAAGGAAACCACGGCGGGGAGGGGAGGGGGGGTGCAGAAAATAAAAACAGATTGCTCCCGTGAGGCGTACCCCCACTAATGCCCACACTTGTGTCCCCACCCACGGGTCCCCCTTAGGCCGCAGAGAAGGCCGGGATGCCAGCAGAACAAGCCCAAAGGTTTCTGGAAAAGATCTCCTCACCAAAAGTGAAGAACCAGCTCAAAGAAACCACCGAGACCGCCTGCAAATATGGGGTGAGGGGCCCGTCCTATACTGTGGGGGCGGAACCTGAGGGTCTGCTGCCACCCTTTTCCAGGGGTCCTACTAGAGGGCAGGAGGATCCCGAGATCCTCCTGGGCACCTGCAGAGGGTCCTGGCACCCAGCCTGATCTCTCACCCAGCCCTCGTCCGCCCTGCCCCCTCTGCTCTCAGGCTTTTGGGCTCCCTGTCACTGTGGCTCACGTGGACGGCCAGTCCCACATGCTGTTTGGCTCAGACCGCATGGAACTGCTGGCACACCTACTAGGTATGGCAAAGTTCACTGGTTCCTGCCCTTGCCCCCACCCTGCCCCCTGCTAACTGCAGAGCTGAGGTTCCCAGGAGTCCACAGCCTGGCTCTCCGGAGAAATCCCTGGGGAGCTTGGGGGACACTGGCTCTCTGGAGAATCTCTGGGGAGCTTGGGGGACACTGGCTCTCTGGAGAATATCTGGGGAGCTTGGGGGACACTGGCTCTCTGTAGAATCTCTGGGGATTTTAGGGGAACACCGGCTCTCCAAAGAAACCCTTGGGTATCTTGAGAGGAGAGTGACTCACAGAGAAACCCCTGGGAACTTGGGGGGCAGTGGCTCCTTGGAGAGAAGGGCCCTGAGGACCGTGTGCTGACGGGTGGTCGTACTCCTTCAGGAGAGAAGTGGATGGGCCCCGTGCCACCGGCCCCCAGCGCCAGACTGTAGACAGGCCCACAATGTCTCACCTCTGTCGCTACCCCACCACCCCCACCCCGGGGCCTGACTCGGAGTAAGGGAGGACCTTGTAGTCTCCGGTGTCTTCGCCAGAACCCCAAACTCTACTACACAAAATAAATCTCAGGCATACGCAGAGCGTGCCTCCCAACTGCCTACTCCTTTGAGGTCTTTGCAGAAGGAGGGGTACAGGAGATGAGAAGCCCCCGGCCCCGCTTCCTCCCACCCTTACAGAAAATAAAGCCAGATGGACTTCGCAACTGACTGGCCTCCCTTTAGCCAGTGCCTGGGTGGGTGAGCCAGGGGTGGGCTGGGGAGGTGGGCTTGGGCAGGAGGAGGCTGCCCTGACCAGAGACCAGGGCGAGGGTGTGGGCAATCCTGGTGCTGCCTGGACCTGGGGGACTGCGCTTCCTCTCCCAGTTCTCACACACACACCAGGGAACTCAGAACACCCCACTCCACCTCCCTGGTTGACAGCCTTCCCTCCCAACCACGTGAATCCATGGCTTTCCCTCCCCCCACTGTTTATCCAAAGTCCTGACCTCCGTCCTTGCCCTAGACACTATACTGGAGAAGCTCCTGCAGAGCCACACGGGGGGTGGGGGGCACAGGGGGGGCGGCGGCCTGGGGCTTGGGGTCTCCAGCAGCTGCTGTCTTGCATTGCTGTCTTCCTCAACTCCAATTCAGCTTCCTCCCTTTTCCCCCCCGTTCAGCTTCCTCGACGTCCCTCTGCACATTATTCCAACACACTCCAGGATTTAACACATCTTTCTTGGTTTATGTAGGAAGTAATAAACGCATCGCCAAGTGTTTTCTCTCCTTCGTGTACACCAACTATGTTGGTGGGCGCCGGTATAGACCAGCATAGGACTGCCCTAGCGTTTCCAAGGCTGCTAGTCTGTACTGCAGCAGACCGCCGCATCTTAATCCTGCAGATGACTAGTGGGCTAGAACCGCACATCTTTCAGTTGTTGTTGTTGTTGTTAAGTGCCGTCGAGTCGATTCCGACTCATAGTGACCCTGTATGGGGTTTCCGAGGAGCAGCTGGTGAGCTTGAACCGCCAACCTTGCAGTTCAAACGGCTTTGCAGTCTGGCGCATTAACCCACAGCGCCACCCCAGGACTTTATCTTTCAGTTAGCAGATATTATATTATAACCAAAAAGACTGGGAATGTTTAGCATTAAAAATCAGAAAAAGTACAACAGAGAAAAAAAAAACCCATTGCTGTAGCATCAAATGAAGACAAAATGTAACTTCTCATGAAGAAAGCTACCAAAAGCAGGGTGAGGTGAAGTTGTAGCATGCTTATCTTGGCATTGGCAGTGAAATAACTTAAATCTGTGTTGGAAAACGTACAAGAACGCTCTTTGGAAGCCAAAATGACCAGACTTCATCTCTCATACTTAAGACATAGTCTCAGGAGGGACCAGTCACTGGAGAAGAACATCATGCTTGGTAAAGTGGAGGAACAGCGTAAAAAAGGGAGACCGCCAATGAGATGGATTGGCACAGTGGCAGCAGCAATGAGCTCAAGTGTAGCAACAGTTGTGAGGATGGTGCAGAACCGGGCCGTGTTTTGTTCTGTTGTGTATAAGGTCGCCATGAGTCAGAACAGAATCAACAGCACCTAACAATAACAACAAATGAATTCAATACAAGGAGACCTCGGAGATGAAGGTTTAACTCCAGAGCATAGCAATAATGCACGCCACGTGAATTTTTGGCTTCCAGGTGCATATAAATTATGCTGACATTATACCGTAGCCTACAAAGTGTGCAATAATAGCATGATGAAAGGAGTCCTGGTGTGGCAATGTAGGATTAGCACTGGACTGGTAACCTAAAGGTCAGCGGTTCAAACCCACCAGCCATTCCTCAGAAACCCTATGCAGAGGTGCTATGAATTGGAACCAATTAGACGGCACCTAACAACAAGTATAAAGGAGCTCTGGTAGCGTAGTGGTTACGAATCGGGCTGCGACCCTTAAGGTCAGCGGTTCGAAACTACCAGCTGCTCCGCGGGAGAAAGATGAGGCTTTCTACTCCCGTAAAGATTTACACCCTCGGAAACCCTGTACAGGGTCGCTATGAGGCAGAACCAACTTCACAGCACATAAACACCACCAACAAGAAGCATGGCGGAAAAGTTTGAAATACTGTAAAAAAAAATGACATAAAGGTGACACAGACACAGGAAGTGAGCACATGTGTTGGAAAAATGGCCCCAATAGACATGCTCAACACAAGATTGCCACAGACCTTCCATTTGTAAAACAGGAAGTATCTGCAAAGCAACACACAGGGAGACATGCCCCTCTTCTACAGAGGAGCGCCTTGCAGTAAGGGGTGGTCCACCCAGGCTGTAACATTTCATAGCTGTCAAAATGCATCTGTGGAGAACTCTTCCAACACAGGAAATGCTTAGTCTATCATAAGGAGCTCTGGTAGCGTAGTGGTTATGAGTCGGGCTGCCAACCTCAAGGTCAGCAGTTCAAAACTACCAGGGTTGTGCGGGAGAAAGATGAGGCATTCTGCTCCCGTAAAGATTTACAGCCTAGAAAACCCTGTGCAGGGTCACTATGAGTCGGAACCAACTCCACGGTACTTAACAACATCATACTGTAAAAGGAGCTCTAATAGCGTAGCAGTTACGAATCCGGCTAGAAACCCTATGCAGGGTCACTATGAGTCAGAACTTACTCCACGGTACACCACCACCACCATCATACTGCAAAAAGTGAGCACCCACCGTCCCTCCCCATAGCACTCTACTCAGCTGAGCTTGACAGTTCACTGCAGTGGCCACACAGCTCAGACACCTGACTCACAGTGATGGAATTTAGTAGGTAAGTTAACAGGGTAAAATGCAGGATCCCAAAGTTCTCCGGGAGCAGTTCTTCAGGCAGGACAGCCTCCCCTCAGCCATGCCCACAGGCTGGCCTCTCTCTGCCCTGCCAATGTTAACAAAACTCTTACAGGGCTACTGATCAATGCCCACAGGGCACACCACTCCCCCATAAACAGCCTGGATGCACTGGGCTCCAGGGGTCAGCAAACCTAGCACCCCAATTACGTGCCTGGAGGCACCCCACACTGCAAGCAAGTCTCCTGCCCAAAGTCACTCACTCAGCCTTACTTGTTCCGTGGTCTGGGAAACCTCCCACTGTCTGATGCTCTGGCACTTGGTTTTGTTGCAGCTGCTCCTCGGCCACACAGCTGGACTCACAGCTGTCCATCCCTGGCTCCAGGAGGTTCAATGTGCAGGGAGCTCAGGGTCCAAAGGACATGCTCTCCTCTAGCTTTTCCTTGATGGTGGCGAGATCCCCCAGCCCTGCTTCTGAGATGACTTATCTTATACGTTAGTGGTCCAGGTTTTTACCATTAAAATGCACTGCTGTCAACTCACGACTGAGTCATATCATCCTATCACTATCTCCTCCCACCTTTTCTTTCCCAGACCCAGCAGGGCAGAAACGTTGTTTGGTGGGAGTTCCGGACTCTGGCTAGAAGAGACATCAGATCACTCTCCACACTGCAGTAACATTGATTGGAGAAAGATGACTCTGTCTGGTACTGTCTTCTGTCCACACCTTAGAATGTTCCACATGGCAGATGAACAGTACATGTTTGTTCCATCACAGTGTGGTTCAGGGACTGAAGGAAATGGTTAGGGGTGTGAACTGTTACAATTTCTGCTTCACTTTCAGGAAAAATTTTAATTTATTCATGTAAATAAAGACATACATAGAAAGATACTCATTTCAGACTCGTAGAAACAAGGGTCATCAATTGGAAATTTGTCACATACATCAATTATTCTTCCACAAAATGGAAACCACTGGAGAGGGAAAGGTGGGAATGTTTTGTATCTTGTTCAGCATTTGGGTTACACTCATATAAAATCTACATTTCATCATAGACCCATTTTACCTCACAAGAAAAACCAATCCATGTCAACAAACAGCTCTAGTGACTTCTGTGCATGCTGAAGTGGCAGTGTACTAAAATCTGGAGCTTATTTTGAAATACTCTTTTTAAAAACTTGCATTGTGAATTGAGTGACAGTTGACATAGCAGATGATCCATTGGCATTCAACAAATCATACCCTTTGTTTCATCTCATAGTTACAATCCCTCAGTGTGCGGTCACTTAACCCACTTCCTCCCTGTGTTTATCCCCATCCCTTCTTCTTTCCCAACCCCTCTGAATGCTGTCCTTAGGTAACTGCTGTCTTTTTGATCTCGTCCCTCACTAGTGTTGCTGCGCCTCTTTTATAACCTACGTATTGCTTGGCTGAAAGCTGAGCCATGGAGTAAATGAGTTCAGTTTCGTACCTGAAGGGTATCAAGGGCCATAGTTCAGAATTCCACCCATCTCTATCTGATTACTAAGCCTGGTTTTTTATATAATTTTTAGTTTTGTGCCATATTTTCTCCCACTGTACCCAGGACCTTCTATTGTGATCCCTCTCAGAGCACTTGGTCATGGTAGCCGGGCACCATCTAGTTCTTCTGGTCTCAGGATTGTGTAGACTGATGGTCATACGTTCCATTAATCCACTGGACGAATTATGAAATACATTGTTTTATAAACTAAATGCACTTTGCTAATCAGGAAAACTCTTTTGACTTCAAGTACTTAATTTACACATGATATGAATTAAAAACCTGAATTTTTTTTTTTTTAAAGAAAGAAAAAATACATTTTAAAAATGAGTTGCATTTATGGATAAATAAAAGGATGGCTATGTGATAAAGCAAATACAGTAAAATGAGAATTGCACAGTCCAGGTGGATGGACGCATGGCTGTTGACTGTAAAGTTATTCTGTGTGGTTTATTGTTGTGAAGTGCCTTTGAGTCTGTTTTAACTCATAACTGTCCTATACAGGGTTTCTAAGGACTGGCTGACAGGTTTGAACCACCAACCTATGGTTAACAGTCCAGTGCTTATCCTACAGTGCCACACCAGGACTCATAATGAAATGGT